GCTATATACAATATAAGTATAAATATATATCCAAATGAAAAAGTGTACATATATATACACACACATGTGAGCATAAACCTATAAACAATGGCAATGGAATTGAGGTGATAGTGCAAGTGGTGGTAACAGTGCAAACAGAGGTAGTGCAGTATGACTTATTTATTGTTCATGAGAGTGACGGCCAGTGGAAAGAAGCTGTTCCTGTGTCTGGTGGTTTTGGCGTACAGAGCCCTGTAGCGCCTACCAGAGGGGAGGAGTTGGAACAGCTTGTGTCCAGGGTGTGAAGGGTCTGCAGTGAATTTTCCAGCCCGTTTCCTGACTCTAGAGGTGTACAAGTCCAGGATGGAGGGCAGGCTGGAACCAATGATCCTCTCTGCAGACCTGACAATCCGTTGTAGTCTGTTTCTGGCCTGTTTGGTGGCCGATCCAAACCACACAGTGATAGAGGAGCAGAGAACAGACTGGATGAAACATGTGAAACATTTTGTAGCTCAAATTATTTTCTTTATAACCTAGTACTGTAGTATGATTCCCTGACTGTTTACATGACATCACGTATTATGCTGATAGTATAATTTAGTTATATATTCATCATCAAACATACAAGAGAATATTTAGCATCATTAAAATGATTAATACCTACAAAAACATGTGTACACATAAGTAATTTCAATATAACTATAACTATATAAATACTACCCTCTGATCCCTCTCAAGATAAATTATCAGCACAATGTGCTTCTTGTGTAATAGGCTTCAGCATCATAAATGTGGTTGAGTCCTGATAATTTAGCAGTGACAAAGCCACGGGCTTCACTTCCTGTGATGATGCACTGTGGTAAATGGGAAGTTCTGTCTGTCAAATACAGAGGGAACACGAGAGCAAACCGCACTTAATGTCAACAGGCTCGGCATAAAAGAGACAGTAGAAGCTGTTTCCCTCTCTCTGTCGACAACATGAAGCTGGTTTTAATTGTGCAACTGAGCTGTCTGTGTCAAGGTATTGTATACAGTTTTATACATTCATAAACTCGATATGTAAAAATGATTCACAAACTGTTAGTTCTGCTCTGAGGTATGGAGTGAAACCGTCTGTAACAGAGACGTTTGATTTATTTTGGGTATATAAAATTATATTTATATTTAATATGATTTTTCCGAATGTGTTAACACTAGCAGCGCATAAACGATGTTACAATTTAAATGGGAGTCATAAACAATTGAAATATGTGGAATTATTGTTGTCAGTGACGGAAAATCGCAGAGGCTGGTATTGTCTCTTTTTAAAAACTTTTTTTCTGATTTGTATCACGAGTTGCACTATACATTTGACATGGACAAAAAACACACTGCAAACTACACAAAACAAAGGTATTGTGAAGTTGGCTTTTCCTTATTCAGTGTATTTCAGAAGAAAAGCAGTAGCTTCTGTACATATCTTTGGTTCATTTATATTTGCTCTTATTTTTGTAGGTTTGAATTCTACGAAAGCCTTAGAACATGTTTTGAAGTAAAATAAGAGACGGTTAAAATTATTCAAAAAAAGATTAAAACAGAAACAGAGTTATTCACATATTTTTTACATTGATTTAGAATTTTATTTTTCATATTTCACTTGTTAAATCCTAATTTTCAACCCTTTTTTATGATAGCCTTAGGAGCATGCTAAATTGTATTTCACTACACATACAGTTTATTTTGAAAAACTAAAACTAGGGCCCTCTTTTTGTCAAAACTCTACACACAAAAACAGACATACAAAACAAAAACATCTTGCATCTCTTGGAAACACTTCACTCAAAACTATGTAAACACACAAAACACCAAAAAAATTGTTTTTTCCCCACATGCCAACTGCACACTTATGTGCTAAATATAAAATAAAATCATCCAGAGTCTTTGGCATTTTCATTTGTAGCACGCTGCAAATAAAAATGATGAACACAAATGCAATGTGGTTTTTTTATTCTCATATACTCTTAACAGTGTCTGACACAATTACTAACTGAAGATACTGTACACTACATACAGTATATTGGAATTGCATTCCTCTAACTCTTCTATTGATGTGCACAACAAAGAGCCAACCCTGTATCTTATGTATAGTGTTTTATACCTCTCATTTCAAAGTGATCTAATTTTACAGATGTGCATTCTGGGTGCAGGTGATTGATAACTGAGTGTTGTATTTCAGTGGCATGTGTATGACAAATAAACCTTTGAATCATTTTAACCTATTCATGCTTCAGATTCAGTCACAGGGAGTGGAAAACATAAAGTTAAGTGTTGAAAGAAGAAGAAGATAAATGTGGAAGATCCCACACACCGGAGATCATATATTGGTGATGTGGTCTCGGACCTCTTACCATATTGCACTCCATCCACTTGCTGAAAGACAAAAGTGAGACATTTGGTCAAGCGGTTATTCATCAAACATCCTGTGGTAAACACATGTGGTGTGTAGCTAGTAAAGGCTTGATGCTCACATTGATACTGACAGTGAAAGTTAATGAGTCTTTTCCCATCTTCATTTCAGCGTTGCAAAACTCATCCACTCAAACAGACCCTACTGATGTCGGGGTGACAGCAGAGGGAGATAATACAAGAGGGAGAACACAAGAGGAAAACAACAGTAAGCTACATTTTTCTGTCTCTCTCTATCTCTGACACAAACAAACAAACACATTTATAAAATAATTGTTTGTACCACTGTTTTTGTCCAGAACCAAAATAAACACTTAATGCAGAGAGAATATGAATATTCTTGCTCTTATTGCCACAGGATGTGGGTTAACCTGCTTGTGAAACGCATCATCTCGGTGAACTTTGCAGATGGAAATCAAACTTGGGGGTATAGCAAAGCAGTCTCTCTCCCACGCAGACAACTCTGCAAGCTAGCTTTGCTGCTGGTGGTTGCTGTACAGCTACACACCACCAGTCACACATTTTTGTGGCAGAAACATTTCAGTCCAATACACTTTACATTCAGAGTCCAGAACAACACAGAGTCCCTGTATGCTAATTCGAGTTCTCTGTTGAAGTAGCCGGGCAGGCCGCGCGTGCTTTACGCGCATGGTAGTTAGTGCATGCCCCTACCCCCACTGGCTAGTTTCGGGGCGGCCACTTTGCACTGGTCTCACACGGCGGTTACAGATGATAAAGAAGCGATAAAGCCGTCCCAACCGGCTCCGACGGCGTCGTCGCGGAAGCATAGCAGCCACCCTCCGGTTCCCCCTCAAGTAAAACACTGTTAGCTCTGCCAGCACTTTGCCCTTCTTTGCCCTTCTTTGCACTGTTAGCAACGTTAGCCGGTTAGCCACCTGCTCAGCCCTTGCCATATTTAGAGCCATTGACAGATTTAAAGATTACAATAAATATGAAGGTAAGTGTGACAGTAAAAATGAAAAAATAAACACAATACTATTTTTTGGGCATTTTCATTTCATTCATATTGTATAGTTGACAGTATAATTGTGTGGGGGAGAGAGGGGGCTGTGTAAGCTAGGTTCTGGCTAGAATCACACCAGCGCCATTGTTGGTGAGGCCTGTGTGTCAACCACTAAGCCACCAGAAAATAATATGAAATGTTGTAAATGTATTACAACTGAGAATCACATTTGGAAAATCTCACTCACAAATTGTTGCTAAATGAATGCAGATATTATTAAACAGTATGTTTGAATTAGCCAGGTTCATTACAACCTTACACCATTAAGTAAATGGGCCAAAAGTACTCAGGCACATAGACAATATTACATTTTCAAATTGTGAATAGTTTATAGAAGATTTAGATGCTTCATTACTGTCAGTAAAAGGAAATGGTAGAAATGTAGCTATTTATCTATAAGCAATTAACATAATACATTTTACACGGAAAAATAAACTGCTACTGAGATTATTTTATATTCAAAAACCCTAGCAACAGTATTGTAGATTTGGCAATGTGTTTCAAAGGAAATACTTCAGCTTATTTAGGTAAAGCTGAAGATCCAGTCGTCTTTGATTTGAAGTTTTAATGTGTATAATTTTCATTGGGAAAACGCTTTTTTCCTTACCTTCAAGTGTTACATACACATACTATGTTGCGGAAGTTAAAACTAATTTGAAAGATTAGAATGTAGAGAATTAGACGTTGTGGGCTCAGGATGTGGTTTCCTTTCACCCACACTGCTCTGATCCACGAGAATAAACTCGAAATAATTGACATTTGGTCAAATGGTTGCTCTTTAAACGAGAAACTTCTCGATCAGTACATGTGGTTTGATGTGTTTAATGTGGTGTGTTGGGTGGCCTGTGTAGAGGTCACTGCCAGTGAAAGTAACTACCCGGCCAATCCTGCATACACCATCCTGGTGCTGGAGTAACAAGAACACCAAACGTGTATTAATCCGCAGTTGAAAACAGTCCTCAACAAATGCATTATTTCCTCCTGTTTGAGTAAAGTTTCCTAAAAAACTACAGTGCCCAGCTGTTTTGGGAAATAACAGCTTTTAAAGAAACAAAACTATACATTTGTGACACATTGTTAAAGATTTTACGTCTGTAGAAGACAGACAGAGGAGGGAAGTCTGAAAGTATTGAGAAACTGACCACAATAAGAGAACAATAATTTATACTTTTGAGTTTTACTGGAATAATCACCACATAAGTCATTTTGTGTTTCTGCTTCTGTGTGTCCTCAGGTGACCCTCACATTCACAAACTTGCTGGTAAATGCCGCTTCACGCTGAGGATGCGTGGAAACAGAAGCAGTGATGTGGCGGCATTGCCAGCGGACTCCACAGATGTGCTCGTTGAACAGATGTGTCAGGATCTGGACTGCGGCAGCGTCTATCATGTGACCAAAACCAAATCACCTTCCAATGCCACCTGCTTTGACGACTGTTTGTACCGAGACGGTCGTTTGCAGAACTGTTCACAGAGTGTAGGCGGTAACTGCATCCTGATTGCTGAAGCAATTTGTGGTAAGGTTTTTGTAATTTCTATTTTTAATTTAATAGTATATCTTATGCAGATTATAAGATTGTGATCAAAATAAATCTTGATTTTTATTTTCCACTATAAAAAAATATCATTACATTTACTTGTGAATTCAGCTATGTAGGCCTATTTATTTTTTAATTTTTTAAGTTCTTTAGTCCACTATACTTCTATTAATGTATGTTTCATATTTTTGGCAAACATAACCACCTGTTATACATTACTTTACTTTTATACTCCACTATATTTTGGAAGCCAATATTCTACTTTTTACTTCACTACATTTATTTAATACAAATTAATACAAAATATAAATCAACTAATAAATGATGATGTAATATTTTGTATTACACTACACAACAGCAGTGTTGTAGTCAAGCCCACCCAACCCGAGATCAAGTCAAGACCAAGACCAGACCAGTGCGAGTCCCACACAATATATAGCATAATACTGTATATAATTTAAATAATTGGACCGTTCTGCATAGTGATTGCTTTTACTTTTGGTATAGCGTATGTACATTCACTTAAGAAAGATTTTGAATAGATGACTTTTACTTGTATTACTACAGCATTTTTTATACTGTACTTTTACTTTACTTTTACTGCTAAGAAAAAGATCTGACACTACTTCTTTCACCACTGCAAAAGAGTATGTACTTATGTGTGCATATAGGGATAAGACCCCCTAGACATAATAACATAAATAGGCTAAATAAATAAAGCCTCTCTAGGTTATCAGTCCAGTCAGATACTATTCTAATGCAAGTAGTGAATCAATCTATTTTTTATTGATTCCTGCATTGATTAGGCTACTAATCTTTAATATGCACTGATAAAAGATAGATAAATGTACTTATTTGCAAGAATTTTAATTCAGTCTCTCTTCTTTTGTTCAATTGCTTTAAATCTTGTCAAATAAACTGCCATAAAAGTATTTCCCAGGCTTCCTCAGCCCTTCATCATAAACAGTGGCAGAAGTTGACAGCATGATCTTGTCCTCCTTTAGGCCACCAGGCTGTGCGGCTGGCAGGAGGGGAAGACCGCTGTGCTGGGCGGGTGGAGCTGTGGAGAGACAGGAGGTGGGGCACCGTGTGCGATGACCAGTGGGACCTGCGAGACGCTGACGTGGTGTGCGGCCAGCTCGGCTGCGGTTACGCCCTCAGTGTGACGGGACAGGGCGGCTCCTTCCCCCCGGGCAGAGGACCGGTCCACCTGGACGAGCTGAACTGTACCGGTAGAGAGGAGAACCTGTGGGCCTGTCCGGCCGCACAGGACGACCCCGACTGCGGACACAAAGAGGACGCTGGGGTCGTATGCTCAGGTCCAGTTAAAAAATCATTCTCATACAGAAAAATAGAATTATAATGAGAAAGTTACTAGCTTCCTGTGGTTGAATGCTTCAAGGTTGACCTTGGATGGAAACTTAAAAAGTCCATGCACAACAGAACCAAGAGTGCACAGCCATGCTAGCAGCTCTGTGAGGCTGTACTTGGGCATAGAGGTGCTTTGAGCTAATGGCCAACACCAGCGTTTAGCAAGCAACGCTATAGCTAACACTGTTTACCATGTTCAAGATCTTAGTGTAAGGTAAGCATCCAAACATTTGCTAATCAGCACTGACCACAAAGAACACGTGAGACTAATAGTTTGTGTCTCTGCAGAGATGAGAGCAGTCAGACTGACGGGAGGTCTGGACCATTGTTCTGGTAAAGTGGAGGTCCACCGCAATGGCAGCTGGGGTACTGTGTGTGATAACTGCTGGAACAAGAACATGGCCTCCATGGTGTGCTCCATGCTGCGGTGCGGTGCCGAGCCGCAGAAGTACTCCCGATTTCTTCCTTCTCTCGCCCTCAACGACGGGGCGCTGTGGTACTATCAATGCGACCCAAACACGCAGAGTCTGTGGCAGTGCGCGGAGTTCGTCAACCAAACGCACCTGTGCCAGACCTCAAAGGCATCCGGGGTGATCTGTAATGGTGAGGGATGCAGTGTTTGTTCATGAAGTATGTTTTCTCCAACATCAACAATAATACAGGTTTTGTTGAATCGGCTTCGTATAAGGCAGCAAGACCTGATGTCTTGGCTTAGACACAGTAATACACAAGGAACGGCAGATGTGAAAGTGACATTACATTTATCATTTACTTTTCTGCTTGTACAGGAATCAAAAGCAGCTGTAAACATGTATTTTATTAATTTAATACAAATTATTTACTTTTGTAACCAGACAATTTTGAGCTCTTGTATAAAATGATATTCTCATTTCAATATTTGACTTTTTTGTCACTCAATAAATAGCTGGTGATTTACAGATGCCTCTTAAATTATGTTTTCATCAAAGCTAAATACCAAGATTGACACATTTATGGTGTAAAATCCAAAATAATTATTAAAGTTTAATTTCGTCAGTACCCCTGTAGGTTCAGTATTCACAGAATCATATTCTAATAGAACTATGTAAATTCATGTTGAGCTCGTTCTGCGTATATGTAAATAAAACAGGTGAATCATTTCTTCTCTTAATTTGTCAGCTCACATCCAGATTGTGTTGAACTTAAAATATAATGTTGTTGTCCTGCAGGTTCCCTCGGGTTTCCTGCAGCCACCACAGCCACCACAGCCACCACAACTAATGCGACTGTATTGACCAGATGGACTGGTAAATATTTTATCGTTTTATCTTATTTAAAATAGACAGATGTCACATGATGTTAATAAATGTTACTTAAAATATCCTTTCACCTATTTAGGAGGGTAAGTAGGACAACGCAATATGTCTCAGTGTGACGTTCAGACAAACACTTATTACAACCAACCATGTGACTCTTACATAAACCACCAGAAAAACAAGAATGATGTGTCTTCTTTTTCTTTGTGTTCATGCCAAAAGGAGCAACCTCAGTCGTTGGTGCTGAAGGCTTCCACTTGCGGTTTCCAGAGCTCATCAGCACCATCGCTCTGGCTCTTCTTCTCCTCGTGGTTCTCATCACAAACTCGGTGCTGTGCTGCCATTACAGAAGACGACACGGTTGGTTCTCCTTCCTTCAGCCTGCGCTACAGTGATACTACTCTTTACTACAGTCACGTTGTGATTTTTTATTTCTCTGCACGTGATTTACAATCATTCCTAGAATGTCAAGGATAAGTTGTGAACTAAATCAGTGAAATCATATATTGGTTTTGATTATTATGTGGCCTCAGTTCCAGATATCTTGTTGTCTTCATGAGATTGAAGTAAATGAAAAATAGGTTGCACAACGTTTCTTCAGTATACATTCTAATGCTTTTTTCTTTTTTAAATTCAATTCTGAATGTCTTTATATTTTCTTCAATCTTTTTTTTATTTGTATTTGTATACATATATATATATATATATATATATATATATATATATATATATATATACGTATATATATATTATATATACAACTTTATATAAACAACATGACCAGTTTATTGGCTTTTCTGCAGGAAAAAAACACAGATTCAGACGCAGACTATTATTCAAAGAAGAGTATTTTTTTTTCTTAAAAAAAGTCTTAGAGGATCCTAAATCTCCACGACAAACAACAACAGACAGTATTCAAGTCTCTCAAAGCACAGCACATCTAATTTGACCCCATCTCTTCAGTATTCTTCTGACCCGACAGCACGAGTTAGATAAGCCAATACTTATCTTCATCCTTGGTTACTGTGTCCACAGCTATCTTGCTCCGGCAGACTCGCAACAGCTCACGACCGACCTCCGAACATCATCATTACCAAGGCGCCGTCGACCTCGTTAAGGTCACTCCCAACCCACTGCATACAGAAGGTCAGTGGCTGAACATTTGATAAATATGACCAATAAAAAGACTATCCCTTGGATACTAACACAACTTAGACTTTTCTTTCTTAATACCGTACACATATATATGTATTAATATAGATGCATCGTAGTGAGAAAGTTGCAGAATTGTGCAGCGTTTACAAAGAATGAAGTCATTTCACCAAGTCGTGTTTTTTTTTTGTGTTTGTCTCAAAAAGTCCCCTCCAATCCCAGGTATTTTTGGACCCAGCTTAGTAGCGTTGACAGCACGTCAGTAGATACAGACTATGAGCAGTATGAGCCAAGCAATGAGCCGTCTGTCCCTTTATCAACCTTTCGGAGTGAGATACTATCTTTTATTTCCTTTTGTATTCATCCCTGTGTTTCTCTGTCTTTGCCTCTGTTAAGATCTTCTCTCGCTGTGTTGCTGCATTTTGCAGTTGAAGCTGCTCTGCCCTGCGTGTGTGTGTGTGTGTGTGTGTGTGTGTGTGTGTGTGTGTGTGTGCGTGTGTGTGCAGTCTTTGCAGATCAATGTTTGCTGTTTGCACTGTTTGTTTGCAGGATGGCTTGTGATTAAAACGTGTGCATCGTTTGGTATCCAGATTCTCAGCGGTACAGAGTTGACGTGAACCCTTTGATGAGGCCCTCAGGTCTCGACAGCCTCTGCGAGGAACGTGAGTCACTGTTCGTCTGCAAGGATGCCACAGAAACACAGCAACACTTTGCAGATCTCAAATACACACAGTCATAGTGATCATCGGTAGGGAAGAGGATGGCTCAAACATTTAGACACGGAGAGGGAGTTTTATAATGACTATATACCCATTATTAGTGTTTTTTTATTTTGATGCATTATGTACATCATTTACATTTCACATAGTCCTTTATTTACATGTTTCCTATATTTCTTTATGCTTGTATATGATAGTAATAGTAACCAACTTTCCCCTGAGGATAAATAAATTGTTTATGAATCTGATTTTAGTTAAATTGAACCTTTTATTTAACAGGAAATCTAAGAAATATTTTGAGTTGATATTGGTTTGTTTTGGTTTTTATAACACACACCAAATATTCACAAACACAAACACAAAGAAAAGAAGTGACAATTGAATGATGCCACACAGATTTAACTATAGCAAATACAGTAGTACTTATTATACAAAAGTTAGATTTTTACTAAAATAATTAGTAAATGAATCCACCTCTCTTTCAAATAAAAAGTATTCATACCTGTTTTCAAAAGTTGTAATAGGTCCTAACTTTGTCTCACATTATCTGGGGAGCTGTTTCAACTGTGCCTTAATATACCTATTTTATACTTATGGACTCCAATAAGCTTAAACTCCTGTTAATATGTCAGTGTCGGACAATGTAAGAAACTTTTTGTTTCTGTTTTAGTCAGAAAAAATTAAACCTCTGGGCATTTTTTTAACCATAGAGCTAAATTATCCCTTTCAATCATTTAATTTTTAATTTTTTAAATTATTATTATTAGTGTTATATTCTCATTTTTATTTTCCAGCTCCTGAACCCACAGAGGAAGCGATGGGAGTCTTTACAGGCTGCAATGGCAGCCCCGCAGAGGCTCCATATGCCAGAGTGTCAAAGATCTCAGTGGACTCATTCGGCACCTCCAGCACCTCCTCCGGGGAATGCTACGAAAACACAGACAACGGCTACGCCCTGGTCACCCCAGGTCAGTCCCATTCATGCTTCCCTTCAACTAAGTTACCATAAAAAAACAACTAAGGGACTGTGTTCAACATTGTGAATAGTGGCTGAATATTCACACCTTTATTATGTCTGCCATTAATGTCACACTTCCACTTCATATGTGTGTATTGGCAGCTGTTTATGATATAATATTAAAGGAGTAGTGGCTTTGAGTGGCATTGAGATGAGAAGATCAATACCACCCTCATGTCTGTATGCTAAATATGAAGCTACAGCTAGCAGGTGTATTTTGTTAACTATGGACAGAACCAGGCCAGCTGTTTCCCCCTGTTTACAGATACAGCATATGTATATATATATATATATATTACTATACGCTATGCTACATGCTAAGCTGAGCTAACTGGCAGCTAACTGTTGCTTCATATTTGCCAAACATGACATGAGGTCCGTGCCAATCATCTCTTGTAACTCTTCACTAGAAAGTTAATTAACTGAACTATTCCTTCAAGATTTACATTATTACTAGTATTTTGTATTGATACCAATTTAGCTGTTTAAATATAAGATTAATCTTTGTACAGTCCCTACCTAAACTAAATCTGTGGGTGTTTGCAGCGTAGAGTCAAGAAAACCACACCCATGACTTAGAGGTGGGACGTGAAAGTAGAAAGCCAACATGAAACTGTCTCAAAAGCTTTCACAAGATAGATGTCATGAGACAGAAGATTTATCCCTTGTGCTCTCACAAATGACAGATTCAGGACCTGCCCAGTCATCTGTCGTCAACGATGCCTTTGACCCTTCAAAGCTCGTCTACAGCAAAGATCAGCTTTACCCGGCGAAAACGACCAACCTGCAGAGTTCAAGTAAATGTCACCAAACAGATATTACGCTTGTGTAAAAATGAGATCTGTAACATTTGCTGATTGCTGTCATTGTGTAATCATTAGGTGACGAAGACGACGGCCCCGTCTACTCTCCCGTGAGCCCCGACCAAGACTCTCCATCTGAGGACGACTACGACGACGTCGGCACGGCTCAGTAACCAGAGGAGGTAACTCAAGAGACTAGAGAGTGCGGGACTGGAACTGACAACTGCACAGAGAGGAAACGTGTACTGTAAGCACCTGTTTTGAGGAAGGAAACCCAATGACTAACTACGGTTTCCTGTGAACCGCATTAATACGTTTAATGTGCAGCTGTTGAGACTCGACGTGTGATTGATCCACTGCAGGTATCACAAAAACATATTGGTGCCCTTTTTGCCAAGCAAATTTGGATGTTGTGAAAAGGATGATGTGCGATTTGCTTTGAAAAGTTCTTGCTTTCAGATGCATTGCCATGCAAATATTATTTAACAAAAACAAATTCAACAAAATGTTCACTGTGACGCAGCAATGACTACCAGGACGGTAGGAAATCAAACTGAGAAGTTAAGGCATATTTAGCTATTCTGTGAATGTAGTGGCAACTGTAACATATGTATGGTTTTTATTTGTAATATTTAACTAATGTGTTGTGTATGTAATAACTAGTATGTGTTCAATCAATGTGCTAATGTTTGCTTTGTATTTTCCTGCAGAGATCAGTACATTCAAACTATAGAGTTCCTACGTGATCTCTAGAACTGTGACATGCACTACATGGCCAAAAGTATGCGGACATCCGAACATTACACCCATATGTGATTGTTGATTCTAAAACTATGAGCTTTATTCTGCTGCTGCAACAGCCTCCACTCTTCTAGGGAGGTTTACTACAAGATTTTAGAACCTGGCTGCAGGAATTTGATCCCATTCAGCACCCAGCACCAAGAGCGTTCATGTTGAAAAAGGTAGAAAGTCGTCTTCAAAAGCACAAGAATATACAACTGTTTGCAGTCGTATTAACGTTTCCCAACAACTACAATAAATGACCCCAGACCAAATGCACACAACAGTAAGTGTCCTTACACTTTTGGCCATGTAGTGTGTTCAAATAATGTTTGCAACACATCATTCGGGTAAAAGTGTGATCAAGCTATTGAGTCCTACCACAAGGTGGCATTATGAGCTTGTAGTTTTTGGGGGTTTTTTTCTGACTGGAGTAAAGCCCTTTCATATAAACTACAAACACAAACAAACTTGTAATGCCATCAAATATTTGCCAAATAAATGTTATCCAGGCTGTAACACTTTTATTCAAATACATATGCGTGCTAAGCGAGGGAGAAGTTGAAAACAACGCTCTGTGAAAACGTTTCTGAAGGGGAACTCTGGATCCTGATCAGGGGCCAACATAAACCGTCAGTGCGGTTTGAAACCAGACCTGGCACGGCTCTTCTCGGTCCATTACGTCTGCAGCAGCTGCAGAGCATCAACGCTTCCCCCTGATCCAAAGTGATGCCTTGAATCAAAGTGATGTCTTGTTTTGTCGAAGGAAATATGACAAACTGCTCTCGAAAGCACCTGTGAAACTTTTAGTAGGGGGCGGGGGCGATGAATGCAACAGATGAGCATGGATTAGCTCGGCTAACGTGAGAATCAGGGAGTGATGATGCATTAGGCTGATAACCCAGCAGAATTGGGTGTTTTTTGACTGGAAGGTATTTGGCACAGGACGACGAGTGTGTGTCGGGGTGTGCGGAGGGGGAGGATGGGGGGAGAAAAGGAGGAGGTGGACGGAGAAGTCGGCAGAGATAACGCGTGTCTGAGAGAACCGTATATTGCACTCAAATTTAGTCCAGAGCTCTGCGTCGAGATAAACAGGCGAATTAACGACCAGATCTCCTTATGAAACTCAATCTCTTTCACATGCCGGAGAATCCAGCACACACACATACACACACACACCAACCCACACCCACTTAACAGAGATTCCATCTAAAACTATGCAACCTGATATATTACAGATCCTCCTCCAACAGTTTGCTTTTGTTTTATTCTGCTCTGAGAGATCAATGAATCAAAATCTTAAAATCTGCGGATTTACAGGCCTGATTAACATCAAGGGGAAAGAAATGTAGCACACCAGTATTTCAAGTAGCTTGTAGTATTTGAGGGATTAGAAGATCAACCCTCTGTTTTTACTTTGTTCATTAAATCAGTTACACACAACGGATTACGGCTCCATAAGTCCGTAAGTTGCTTAAAGTGTCCCGACAACAGATCCTGCACGAGTTTAAACTTTTGAACTCTGTTTGGTGCTGGAGGCCTGGAGACGACAGTACCTGCCTGCAGTATATGTGGCACAAGCTGGAATCACAGCTGCAGCAGCTTCTAGTTAGGACTCTTTTTGAGACAAAATGAAAAATATAATAATTAAAAAATAATATAAAGAGTATTACAACAACAAGAGTTTGGCCAACTAGTTTTTGGGCTTTTTAGCACAGGAAGTTAGTTGATAATCACGTGTTACACTCTGTTAGAGCTGTTAAACGGACCGCTTACCCCAAAATCATAAATACTGTACATATTATCCTCCTTGTTGACTATGTTTTGAGCTGTTTCATGTAGGAACTATTTCTTTCAACCATAGTTCCTACACAAAACTGCTCACAACAAGTGATCTGTGTATCTGTGCATTATCTTCAGTAACCCGGTCAGGATTTCTGGAGTTTTTTTCAAATGTATTTTCTTTGCACTTTGAGCAGATCGATAAACAGCACTACAGATAAGAGGAAAAAGTATTTCTGATTTTGAGTTGAACTGTCCTCTTAAAGTTCCTATCAATGTTCAATACCTGGCTTTGTATCTCATTTCTTGAATCAATGTTTTGACTGTATTTCATTTCCTTCAGTGATTTTTATGACCTCATTATGGATAACAGGCGCTTGTGTATGGGCAACAATATTTGCCTGAAAGCTCCAGAAGCAAATTAGTGAACCTTAAATTAGGAATATTTTATGACAATATGCAGTCCCCGGGTCAACAATGACCCTCCATGCTCAAATAATATTACAGTGTGAATCAAATCACTATGATGTAAAAAGGGTCATGAACCCACAGAGAACAGGTAATTGTTTTGGTTCCATGACTGGTTCAGTCTCACCGCTCTCATCAACCTGGTTTCAAGCCGGAGCAAGCCGCAGTTTCCTGCAAACAACCTTTCAAAATTCCCACTGTACACCACCTGCCCAGCACCAACAGCCGACTAATATAAAGAGTAGCTGGTGAACATAGTGGAGCATGTAGCAGCTAAAGAGACCGATATTTCCCTCAGGAGTTGGTGGAGACCAAAAACAGAATTAAAAAGAGAGAGAATATTGGATTTATGTTAATGGCTCCAAATGAATGATTATGTCGCTCTGTTACTGCTGAATGTATAAATAAGCAGCTGTTTGCTAACAAGTTCATCATATATCATCTTGAAACGTGAATATGTCACTGCTGTGGGTTTGTCAACTTTCTTTTCTGCCCCCTAGTGACCCCAAAAAAATCCTGATTCCTGCAGCTTCTGGAGATTTTCTTAAACTATCAAGTGGTCATTTTATGGCTTTATTGTTATCTGGTTCAAAGCCCACTGGTCTCATCTTTTTATGTTGAGTTTGCTGGTCTTGAAAACTGCAAAAACGGACTTGACTGTGACCTTGTTTGTTTTGCTCCTGACTTGGCTTTTGTATTGGCACTGCTCTTTGATTGCCAGGGACATGTTGCAGGATGGACTGCAGCCAGTGAAATTCAGTGAGGTCATTAGTTTAGGTAGAGCCCCAGATGGTTAGAGACCCGGGCGAAAAATCCACTTCAGCTTATTAATCAAAGCTTTTCCCCTCGGCCTAGAAATGGCAACGATTTATACTACTGCCATTAAATTCACTATTATTCCTTTTCTCCTGATTAGTCACTCTCACAGTGAATCAGTCTGTAGCTTGGCTGTAAACGACATTACAGCCTGCTGGGCAGAAGGTTGGGTGCGCTTGCGAGCCCCAGTAATAGTGTTGATTACTCCTCACTCATTAGGTTGCTTTCACTGCCGCCGCTAAGCCCTCATCAGGAGGTTTTTGGCTGAGCGGCCGGGCAGGGGCCCTGATCCAATTCACCTTTAAAGTTCAGTGGACCTGTCTGGGTTGCCACGGGTCAGTGCATCGCTCTCCATGCTGTGCACTCCCAGAGAGGCCCTCATTACCTCATTTCCTGTTACTACTGTACCAGACAAGCATTTGAATCCCATGGTTTGGTTGTGTAAAGTTCGCAATATTTTGTCACAGACGGTATTTTAAAATTCTGGAATAAAACCTTTGGAAAAGAATGAAGGTAATAATTGGTCATGATTATCAGTCCTACGGTGGCCCTGTGGTGAAAAAACACATTAATAACAAAATAGAAAGCACAACTAGAATTCACAGAGTACGACTTTACAGAAAACACAACTAATCAGAAAGTGCAACATTTTAGAAAACATTAACAAAAAGTAAATTTTGTTTATGATGGACAGAAAAAATGAAAAGTTAATTCTAGGGCTGCACCTAACAATTATTTTTATTGTCAATTTATCTGGGGTACTTCCCTGATTAACTGATTCATTATTTGAAGTACCAGTGATGACATCATTAATAACAAAATAGAAAGCACAACAACAATTCAGAGAACACACATCAACAAATTAGAAAGTGCAACATTTTAGAAAACAAAATTAAAAAACAAACAAATCAGAAATAATAAATCAGAAAACACAATATTAAAAAATGTGTATATATATATATATATATATATATATATATATATATATATATATATTTGAATATATTTGCATATCAAAAGATCCAACAACATTCTAGAAAATAAATGAACAAAAAGCTATTTTTGTATGAATATACCAGATAAGAATCGAAAACCAACCCTGTTTAAGAAGAGCTAGAGTAGATTTGAACAGTTTGCAACAATTGCAACCATGCCATATTTGAATGTCGAATGTCGGTAAATAATCTAACAATTATCCAACCATGGGTACAGGGTAAAATTAACACATTATTATGTTGTTGCCAAACTGCCCCGATGATCTTTAGATCTGAGAAAATCTAAGAATTTCTTTGTGTTTTCTATTTCGCTAATGTGTTCCATCCAATGTTGTGTTTTGCACCTCAGGGCCACCGTACAGTTCTCACAAGACACATTTATTAGTCTGTATAAAGAAACGAATCCCAACTTGAAAGCTGGCCGTGGCAGTGCAGCGTTTAGCTCATTAACCTTTTTTTTCTTCGTCTTCTTCTTCTTAGCACCTCGCTGCAGTTAACAGTCTGTGGCCTCTTCCCCACCAAGACACATTCATGTAGCTGCCAATCAGGTCAATGCTGCAATTAAGCTGCTTTAAACTTATTCAGTGGTGCCTGGAGGCCGTAAACTTCCGTTTGAGTGTCAATGGAAGCCTGCGGTGGTCAACGCTGCATTCATGGGAGCCTACAATGTGTCTAGTTAGTGTAAGTAGTCTGGTCAGCGGGTCAAAAGGGCAACATGACTGACTGATACGAGGACGTGCGGCAGTTTCCAGCTGTTCGAGACATGATTCACAGTGGTCGTCTGTTTTCTTCTTCACTTTGCCCGACGCTCAAATTTTTTCTCAAGCAAGTTAAGAATTTATGGACACATTTCCTTGTTTGTCTCCGACCAGATGGACGGAGGTTTATGAGTGTGCGGTGCATGTCGGACGGCGGCATCTTGCTCTGAGCACCGGGTCAGTCAGGACAGGCGTCATCAATCTTAGTCTCCAGTGAATGGCAGATTGGCTGCCATAAACCGGGCCTGATTGCTGTGTGCCGTTCCCTTCGGAAGAGCTTTCAGGCCGAGGGAGGCATGGAAACAAAACCCCGCAGATACAAACACTGTATGTGTGGGACACCGAGGACTGTGCCACATTGCAGGATGGTTTACTATATGCATATTGGACAAGCTTCATCTATTTATTATCCTTGTCGATCAAATGACGATCCTGTAAACATTTGTGAAGCAACAACAGGTTTCAGATGGATGGTTAATAACGAGAGAGTAATGAAAAACAACGCAATATATACAAATGAAGTACTCTCTGAACCAGGGCTGTAGCCAGGATTTAGCCACGGCCAGAGTAACCCTTTCGGTGACTAAACACAGCCTTTGATTAAAGGCAAGGCCGTAACACCAGGTCATCATTTTACAACACTGAGCATTACCACATTAGGCCCTTTTCACAGCAGACACAGCAAGAAAAGCACAGGTGTAAATAATCACGTTAAAAATGGCTCCATTCTATTAAATGTCCCAGCAAAGCCTCGGCAGTGAGTGAGCACGCAGGATACCAGAGCCCTGGAACTGGCTCACCTATATGGAATGCAGCCGTCATTTATGTTATTTATTCCACCTGTGCTTCTCCTGCTTATACTGTGAAAAGTGTTTGTCCTTAATTAACTGATGTGCAGAAATGTACTTTGGTGGTCTGCAACAGTCTGCCAGAACCAAATGGAAGTTGGGTCCCCACTCCCCACATTGGAGCAATAGGTAATCTTGCAGAGGACTGGTGTTAGTGGGAAGGTGTACGTGTGTACAGAGTGGATGATGAAGATGGATGAGGAGCAGGTGTGCCGGCAGGTGGTGATCGGGTGACTTGGGAATGGTGGGAAGTGATAATCATGGGATGTGTGTTGCGAAAACTTGATCTCTGTCTTTAATGAACACAAGTAAAGCTAAAATTAGTTTTTGCAACTTGTCTTGACTGAATTATTTTGACAGATATGGAACATTGGCGCCCAATGACTTATGGTAAACCCTGAATTTTAATTTTGTCCAATATTTTGGTTTATTCGTCGATACCCGCTAAACTGATGACATTCCCAATAGCCTCGGCTGTTCTTTGTGATATCACAAGTGCAGATTAGATCAGCTAAACTATGATGTACCTGCTAGATATCAGCAGTGTGTGCAGCCATCGATATTTTGACTTGATATGATTTTATGTTTTATCAACATTATATTCCGTTAAAAGATGAAAAGGGCAAATTTCTAATCACCAAATGCCATTTTAGAAGATGGATTATTCTTCAAAGCTAATGGTTAATTATTGTTGATAAATGCGCACTGTCTCCAGTGATTATAAGAATAATAGTATATTTATAATAATTCATTACGCCCAAGCTAGAATTCCTCCCACTATACGAGAACCGACCAACACCACTCTGGTTCAGTGTGGGTTACTGCTGCTGTAACATTAACACACACAGAGAAAAAAGTTTGGCGCAGACAGCACATCAGGCCAGGTGAGGGGCCTCACTGTGGGTATGAGTCATCTGTGTTGTCATGGCTACGCAGCATCGTCATTTGTTTGTGCACTCCAGG